AGTTTTCCCTCAGAATAGCTTTGCAGCTTCTGAATTCTCTCAGCCCTCCTCTCCTTTTAGTATCTAATGTCAGATTGCCCAGAATCTACCCACATGCTCCTCCCCTCTCCCCAGTCTCTATGAACTGAGCCTGCCCTGCCTGTTCCTCCTCAGGCAACTGCAGTAATAAAGGGGCTGAGGTGAGACCCTCCAGGCCACAGAGTCATGAATGGGCAGGGAGTAGGAAGCCACTATCATAACTGTCTGAAGTATCATGAGTGGGAGCTTGTGTGACTGTCTTAGCAAGTCCCCCTCATCTCCTGGGTGTCCTGTTCCCCTTCCCTGCCTTCCTGCCACCCCACACCTGCATGGGACCCAGAAGTCATGTATGGTGAGGCCATGCTTTGTTCTGTGTCACCCCTGTCAATTCTCATCCCCTGTGTGGCTATCTTATCACACATCACAGCACCAGTCACAAATATTGGACACCTACTATGTGCCATGCATCGACTTTGGATCTTGGGGAATAGCTGTGACAAGACAGACACTGTCCCTCCCCTCCCATGGTATATGGTCTAGTGGTAGCTATAAAAGTAACAGAAGTTTTATCAAATGATCAGAAGGTATTTAAGAAAATGTTTGAACGGATGAATAAATGAATTATTCAGAAAACAGTGGGGCTATGTAGTGCACCGTTTGCAAATAGTTGCCTTTCCTGTTTGCATGAGCAAAATCTTAAATCGCTAACTTACCGCTGGGTCCTCCATAATGGCTTTGATGGCTGGCTCTGCCCCTCCTCTATTCTGTGACAGCTGAGCCTTAACCTCTTGGCCTGGTCAGAGGAGGCAGCTTGACGTCAGGATGGGAGTTTGGATTTAGGGTGTGGATTCTTCCGTTTGCAACATGGTAAAGAACCTGGCCGTGTCACTATGTCAGGGAGTCTCATTCTCTTCCATGAGAAGGGCTCAAGAGTCAATGCAATGTTGATGAGGGGGTTGTGTGCAGCTCCCGGTGCCACATTTGTGATTCTGAAATTATTGGCCACCCTGTATCACCTCTCTCTTTCCTTCCCAGGTCACCGATGAGGAGCCCAGTTCCAACCACACTGTCATGATCCAGGAGACCCTGCAGCAGGCCTCGGTGGAGCTAGCTGAGCAGCACCATCTGGTGGTGTCCTCTGATGACGTGGAGGGCATTGAGACAGTGACCGTGTACACACAAGGCGGGGAGGCCTCCGAGTTCATCGTGTATGTACAAGAGGCTGTTCAGCCCGTGGAGGAGCAGGTTGGGGAGCAGCCGGCCCCAGAACTCTAGAGGACCTTAGTCTCCTTCAGCAGCCTTGGCTTTGTGGGCACCGGGGACCGCCTAACCCACCAGGCCTGTGGAATGGCACTGTCCTTGCCCTTCCTGCCTACTGGCCCGGGTGGTGTTCTCTACACTGCCCTTTGTGTGATCAAAGCCAGTGCGTCACCAGCAATACACAACCCCAGCCCTGAGCACAAGTCACACCCCTGGCGCAGCTGCCTCTGTTTCCAGAAGACTTTTACATCCACTGCCCTGCCCTGCTCCCTCCTTGCTCCAGGACCCAGAGATTCCCAGCCCTTTGCTCCC